TGGCTGCCTGAATATCCTCTTTGGCGAAGTGTCTATTCATGTCTTCTGCCCATTTTTTAATTGGATTGTTACTCTTTTTGTTGTTGAAGTCTTGGAGTTTTCTATAAATTTTAGAGATAAGTCATTGCCGAATATTTTTTCCCAGTCTCTAGGTTCTCTTTTTACTCTTTTGGAGAAGTCTTTGGAAGCGCATAAAAATTAATTTTTACAAGGTCCCATTCATCTAGTTTATCTTCAGCTATTTGTGCATTTTGAGTTTTGCTTGATGGTCTATTTATGCCATAAATTAGAGCCCCTAAATTTACCCATTTTTTTCCTTGAGAAACCTTTGTATATAGTTTTAGGTTTCATATTTAAGTCTTTGATTCATCTGGAGTTAGTTTTCGTGTATGGTATGAGGTTTTCTTGTATGGTGTGAGGTGTGGACCTTGTTTCCTTTTTCTGCAAATGGATATCCAGTTTTGCCAGTACCATTTGTTAAAGAGACATTCTATTCCCCATTTAATGGATTTCAGTCCTTTGTCAAAGATCTGCTGACCATGGGTGGATGGGTCTATTTCTGGGTTCACAATTCTGTTCCACTGGTCTGTAGCTCTGGTGGTGTAGAGCCTAAGGCGTTTGAACCGCCAGCCACTCCTCAGAGGGAAGATTGGGCAATCTACTTCAGTAGTGATACCGCCTTGGAAACCCAGGGGGAGGGGTCACTATGAGTCGGATCTGACTCCTCTGCAGTGAGTTTGGTTTTTTTGTTTGTTTGTTTGGTCTATGTGTCTATCTTTGTACCAGTCGCAGGCTGTTCTGACTACTGTGGCTGTATGGTAGGTTTTGAGATCCATTGATTGTTTTTCTAATGTTGGACCATCCTTGGATACCTGGTATGAACCCCACTTGGTCATAATGTAATTTTTCTTTTGATATGGTGTTGGAGTCTGTTGGCTAGGATTTTGTTGAAGATTTTTGCATCTGTGTTCATGAGGGATATTGAAGACCTGTGTGGTTTGCCTCAGGTGCCTTATACCTCAGAGTGTTGGCATCAGAACCCCGCAGCTCAACAGTCAGTTGAGTATCATTCTTTGCAGCCTGCCTGTAAAGGACTGTCTCGGGGCCAAAGTCCCTGCTCAGACAACAAGGAAAGCACTTGGGGCGGGATGGGGCTGGGTTGGGAGCACGCACTGGAGGCCGACTTCCAGCGTGAATCCCGACTCACTGCACTAGGCCTTGCTAGGGAGTGTGCAGATGGAAGGAAGGGTGCGGAGAGCTCGGGTGCGATGCTGGTCGCCTGGCCGCACGGTGAACTTGCTACATAAGCTGCTGTTGTCTGTGGAAGCCTATTCCTCAGAGCTGTTTCGGGTTGAGCTCCTAACAGTGATCAAATCTAGACGTCTTTTTAGCCCATCCATCAGAGTCTGCTTCCTTTGGCCGGGTTGCAGATTCCCTTAGTTGCTCTCCACGCTGCAAGAGCCCCCTGGGGCTTGATGTGGGGTGGGACTACCGGCCTCTGTGGTGCGCGCTGTGGGAAGGCAAACGCAGCGGGGCTCTGCCCTGTGTCGAGGGTCCACGCGCAGTGGAAAAGAAGCGCTGCGCGTGCACATACAGTCGCACACGGGCGCCTGCTGCCTTGCGTTCTTTTCCTCAGGTTTCCTACCATTGTCAGTTCGTTCGTTTCCGTCATCTTCCTTTTTACACCCCAGATTTTCCGAGTGTTCTGTTTACCACTAGAACTAGAAGGATTTTCTCAGGTACGGGTGATCACAGCTGCTGAGTTTGCCCAAGGCCTGAGCACCCAGGAGCGGTGTGAGTGGGTTCTCTGAGCTGGTACCAGTAGGCCCTGCCAGTGCCTGGCGAGGGCAGCCAAGAGACACCATCTTTCCGCTGAGACCGCCTGTAAATAATGGTCTTAGGAATGCTGACCTCGGGAAAAGGGTCACCTGAAGCTCACCCCAGCCCTTGCCCCAAGTGTGTACACACTCTTCACCCGCCAACATAATCCCGTGGGCTCCTGGGACCTCTCAAGACACCAGATCTGCCCCAGTGCCCACCGGTTAGACAGACGTGGCTGCAGCCCTGCCACCGCCCCAGGCCCCGTAGCTCTTACAGGAGCAGGAACAGCAACCTGAGGAGCTGGGTGTTCATTCTAGGGACATTGTCTGGGACACCCTGAAGAGTCAGTAAAGGGCCAACAGGTGCCCTCCAACCCCAGAGCAAGTTAGAGATTTTGTCAGGTGCTGCAGGTGGCCGTGGAAACACCGCTGGAGCACTGTTGCTTGACAGTGAGCCACGCGTGCAGCTTTCAACTCTCCCAGCACAGCCATGTTCTCATACCCGTCCTCTCTCTGAAACATCAGTAATGCTGAGATCCAGTGTGGAGAGAAGTCCACTCCATCTGGGGTCTGACCAGGGCGTCTCTGGACTCCATCAGGGAATCATAGATGAGCTGTGGACTGGCTGGGAGTCCGGAGGCAGCCTCGTCTGTGTGGCTGTGAGCTGCCACAGGGCAGCCTTCTCCAGAGTCCGGGGCCGTGGCGTCTGGTCACAGTGTGTTGGGTCCAGTGTCTGGTCACAGTGTATTGGGTGCACCTTGCAGGTGGCTTAGTACAGCGGTTCTCAGCCAGGTGTGATCTTGCTTCCCAGGGTGCATTTGACAATGTCTTTGATGGAACTCTAGGGGCACAGTGGTTAAAGTATTCAGCTGCAAACCAGAAGGTCAGTGGTTTGAACCCACCAGCCACTCTGCAGGAGAAAGCTGAGGCAGTCTGCTTCCATAAAGGTTTACAGCCTTAGAAACCTATGAGGCAATTCTGCTCTGTCCTGTAGGGTCACGAGCGGGAATTGACTCGATGGCAGTGGGTTTCCTTTGTGATTTTTTTGAGCCATTTGACTGTCACCAACTTGGGATAGAGTAGCTGCTGTTGGCATCTTGTGGGTGGAGGCCAGGGATGCTGTTAAACATTGTGCAGTGTGTGGGACAGCCCCCACCATTGACTGATCCAGCCCACGATGTCAGCAGTGCCAAGGTGGGGAAGCTCCAGTTTCAGGTCTGACAGGGGCAGCCTGCTTTGTGATTCTCCTTCATCAGTGGGCTGAGTGGTCCCCTGAGCGGACTAGCCTGGTCTTTCTCAGTATCCTGACTGGACAGAAAAGGGACTTTGAGTAAGTTATCTTTTCTAGTTCCCGTGGTTCCCTACAAGAAACATAGGTGCCCACTGAGGCTGGGCTTCCCACATGTACAGATTATAGTCTTTGGAGACCTGCCCCACATCTAAGACTCACCCCTGTATCTGAGACCCACCCCCATAGCTGAGACCCACCCCACATCTAAGACCCACCCCCATATCTGAGACCCACCCCACATATAAGACCCACCCCCATATCTGAGACCCACCCCACATCTAAGATAGTTCCACATCTAAGTCCCACCCCAAATCTAAGTCCCACCACACATCAAAGCCCCACCCACACTGAAGCCCCGCCCACACCGAAGCCCCGCCCGCACCGAAGCCCCAAAGGCTGCTGGCTGACTGGTGTCTGTGCAGCCAGAGGTGATGTCAGCGACCTGAACAATCTGGTTGTGCATCTGCACCTGTAAATGTTTCATGTTGATGAGAAATGCTGGTAAGAGTTAGAGACAAGTGGGGAACCGTTTCATATCTAAAGGCTTAATATTGGGTGTCTTTCTGGCTCAGTGTGTTCTGTCAGAGTTTTCTGCATGTTTCTACCAAAGCATGTTTCAAAGAAGCACTTGGCTAGCATGGATGCCTTTAGTCTCAAAATGAAAGGCCTGAGCTGAGCTTTCTTCTCAGCAGCTTCTGACAAGCCAACAAAACCTGCTTCCACCCAGTCAATTCTGACTCATAGTGACCCTGTAGGACAGAGTAGAATGGCCCCACAGGGTTTCCAAGGCTGTCATCTTTATGGAAGCAGACTGTCACATCTTTCTCCCACAGAGCCCCTGGTGGGTTCAAACCGTAGACCTTTTGGTTGGCAGTCAGGTGCTTTAACCACTGTGCCACCAGGGCAAAAGGTCCCCAAATGGCCCTCCTGGGCAAGGCTATTTCCAGAGTCCAGGATCAGAGGCTTCATGGATTTAATAGCAAAGCCGCCTAAACTATGAGCATCTCTTCCTAAGTAGCGTCTTATTGGGTCAGAACTTCTGGATTCTGCATCGCACTGTTACTGACTTAATGATTACAAAAATACCTGCCCCTCAGTTTTAGTTTTCACAAAAATGTATCCCTTATAATAAGATCCCCACCTGACCCACCGCCATCTAGTCAATTCTGGCTCACAGTGACCCTGCAGGGGAGAGTAGAACTGCTCCATAGAGTTTCCAAGGCTGAGAATCTTTACGGAAGCAGACTGCCTCATCTCTCTCCCACACAGCAGCAGTGGGTTCACAATGCTGACCTTTTGGTTAGCAGCCAAATGCTTTAACCACTGTACTACCAAAGCTGCTCCTTGTAAGATAAAAGCCATAAGATTTTATGAGGTCGAAGATTAAGTGGAAGTATTTTAAGCTTTTTAGAGAGCTAGTAAAACAAGTAAGAGTGGTAGTTATTTGGATCAGTGATGACTAATTATTCTAATTTTTGCAGATGGAATTGGCTGCTCTAGAAAAAGTCAAATCTACTTGGATTAAAAACACTGATGACGGCTCGGCTGAAGCAGACACTCTGGTACGTGGGGTTCGGTCTCCTGCGCCTGCTGTTTAAATCCCTCCTGTCCCTAGAACTGGAGGCACAGAGACTCTGAGACACGCCCGGACGGTTTGCCTGAACGTGAGTGTTTGTGATGGTTCTGCACGCTCTTCCTCCCAAGTCCTGACCCGTGGAATGGAACCTGCCCCAGAGGCCGAGCTACTTCCAACATCAACAACCAGAAGTGGTCTTGCTCTGCCCCTTCAGGAGGTCAGATCAAATGCTGGTTTGGGTCATTTCTTCCCATTGTCATCCTGATTTACTTCTCTGCGATGATGACCAGTGCCCTTTCCAGCAAAGCCATCCAGTCCCCCTTAAGTGTTACTCTTACTGTGATCAGGCAACTCTGCCTGATTGCTGGTCACCTCCTGCCTCCATGAGACCGTGGGGCTGCCCAGGAGCAGGCCAGAACCCCAGGGACTTGGACTTGGCTGGGATGCCCAATCCAGTTAAACATGTAACTCCACAAGCATCATGGAACCCCCGCCATATGCTGAGCCCTGAAGGTGCTCCACCATGAATGAGCTCCTCTCCAAGGGAAGGCCCACCTGTGCACACCTGCTGCAGAGGCTTTGTGGCAGCCTAGGGGGTACAGATGGATTCTGACTGGAGGGGCACCTGAGCTGGGCCTCACAGGATACACTGAAGGTCAGCGAGTAGGACTGGCCTGGACACGGCGGGGGAAAGGTCAAGAGAGAGCAAAGAACTTGACTACGCACAATCTGGGGGTGTGCGTGTGTCAGCCTCGTGGCAGGCCTTCTGCTAGTCCAGTGGAGTTGAAGAAAGAATTATTGCAGGCTTGTGTTTCCTGGAAGGAGTCCTGAGGCACAGTGGTTAAGCGCTTGGCTGGTGACTAAAAGGTCAGCAGTTTGAACCCACCAGTTGCTCTGCAGGAGACAGATGTCAGTCTGCTTTAGAAAAGGTTTACAGCCTAGGAATCCCTGTGGGACAGTTCTGTGTCCTCTAGGGTTGCATGAGTCAGAGTCGACTCGATGGCGGTAGATTCGGGTTTGGTGTAGTCAACAATATAAGAAGAAGGATCCAGCATGTGACAGAACCTCAGATGTAGCTCAGGATTGATGTAAAACGTGGTGCCTGTGCTTTGCAGTTCACCAACGGCCTGAGTAACCCAGCCTCCCCTCGTGCCCCACTTTGGCCCGTGCTGCACGTGGCAGTCACAGTGGTTCTTTTCCAAGATGAAATTCCACTCACGTCACTTCCTGTGTAGAACGCTCCAATGACTGCCCAGATCTCAGAGACACGATGTTGAGCAACAGCATCCCAACGCACAAGAGCACACGCCATCTGATCACATTCACGGGAAATTCACAGACAGCCCACACTAGTCCGTGATGGCAGAAATCCGAGTATTTCTACCTTTGGGAGCAGGAACTGGCTGGTGGGGGCTGCCCACATCTTGATCTGGGCGATGGCCCCCAGGAATAGGGAGGTGGAGGTGCAGGCCGCATAGTTTAGATTTGTGCACTTTACTTCAGGAAGTTATTCCTCAGTAAAAACATTAGAAGTGAAAAGAGTAGGCAAAGACACAGAGGTAAGCAGGCTTCTGGCATTCGTGGGGTCGGGGAGTCGTCTGCCCCGGGACTAGGGCTAGAGCACTGGCGAGGTGGTGGGCCCAGAGGAGGGCGTGGGAGTGCTAAGGGCCCGACTGGGCGGGTCGTGGGGGCCCTGCGATGTCCACTAAGGGATTGGGACTGAGCCCCCAGCTGTTCGAACAGCAACATGCTATGGTGAGCTTTGCGCTTTAGGAAGACAACTGGCACAAGCTGCGGGGCAGCCGGAAGGGGGTGAGAGTGAGGGAAATGCTGGAAGAGATCTGAGGAAGAGGCAGCAAGTCCTGACGGGAAGGTGGCCCGAGGGACGGGGTCGATGTGGAGTGAGTGCAGACCCAGGGTCACAGAGCATCAGCGTCAGCCACAGGGCGGGGAGGAAGGGAGATGTCCTAGGTAGACACCAGAGTAAGGAAGGGAAGGCTGCTGCAAGCGTCACAGGACTCCTGGCCACAAGAGCGTGCTGGTGAGGAACTGGGTGGATCCTGCCAGCTAGAGAAGCGAGGCGGTCAGCCCACTCATGTGCACAAGATGGAGAGGGCATAGTGGACTAGCAAGGGCAGTGCCCAACACAGGGATGCATGCACTCAGCATAGACGATGACAGTATGACAGTACCCTCACCCAGCATGGGAAGCTTCCAGGAGAAGAGAGTGACTGAATGGCTCTCCCCGTGACAGTGACAGGCCTGGCAGGACCCATCACGTTTGCAGGTGGCCTCCACTGAGCAGTAACCCTCCTGCTTCCTCCCCTCTTGGCAGGAGATTGCTGACCAGGACATGTTTGGAGCTGGCAGCACCAGTCTGGTTGTGCCAGAGAAAGTCACAACCCCCTTGAAGTCCAGTAAGCCCGACCTCCAGGGCTCTGCCTCCCCCAGGTACTTAAGATCAGAAACAAAGTCCTGGAAGGTGGGGTGGAATGAAGGAAGTCAAGCAGGTGGCACAGTCTCTGCCCACACCTGGCATGTCAGCATGTACCTGTGTAGGCTCTGTGGTTTGGGAAGGAGTGGGCTGGTAGTAGCTTCTGGGTAGGAGGGGCTATTTAACCATCCCTCTCCCTTGTTGGCAGCAAAGTGGATCCGGTCCACACACCCCGGCAGAAAAGGAGCACACCCCTGAAGGAGCGGCAGCTTTCCAAGCCCCTGAGTGAGAGGACCAACAGCTCTGACAGCGAGCGCTCACCCGACCTGGGCCACAGCACACAGGTACTCCGGCACCAGGGCTCTGAGCTTTCCTGGAGCACAGTCTCTGTTTTGTTGTCTTCCTTGGACTATCGAGTGGGAAGGACAGGAGATAGCTTGAAACCCTCTGAATAAAAAGGCTTGAAGAAAGATCAAAATCAGAAAAGTCTAATATATTTGTTATTTACTGCTAGTGTGGAATGGGGCTTCAGTGCGAGTGGCTGGAAGCCAAGGAGAAGAAATATTGGTGTCACCCAGCCTGCCAATCAGTCACATGGGGCCACTCAACCCCTCTGGTTTGTTCTGCCTCCTCTGCCTCCATCAGACATGAGTATGGAGATGGGATGGCAAATTAATTGTCCTGGAGGATAGTGTCATGGATTGAACCGTGGCTCAAAAAAATAAGCGTCAGCTTGGCCAGGCTATGATTCTCGGTGGTTTGGCAGTTATGGAATGACGTAATCATCACTCATGACGTGCTCTGATGCAGTCAGCCAATCAGTTGTGAGGGGATTAGGCCAGGGTGCAATGCCCTTACTCAGGTCACTGCCCTGAGACAACATAAAGGGAATTTCCCTGGTGTGTGGCCTGCATCCCTTTTTATCTTACAAGAGAGAAAAGGAGGGAGAGGTGAGCAGAGAAAGAGGACCTGAACACCACGAGAAAGACGAGCTGGCAGCCGAGCGTGTCCTTCGGACCCAGGGTCCCTGTGCAGAGAACCTCCTATGCCCAGGGGAAAACTGATGCCAAGACGTGGGGATCTCCAAGGAGCGCTGGGCCCACAGATGCTGAAAGGAGACACAGACCTTCACCCCAGAGCTGGTACCTAGGTTCAGATTTCTAGCCTCCGAAACAGAGAATAAACTTGTTTGTGAAAGCCATGCATGGTTTCTTTGATAGCAGTACTAGGTAACTGAGATAAAATTTGATACCAGAGTGCGGTGCTGCTCTAACAGTTAGTTAAATATGGAAGCAGTTTTGGAATTGGGTAATGAGTGGAGGCTGGAAGAGTTTTAAGGTACCTAACTGGACCAAATGAGCTCCGGTGGCATAGTGCCTAAGGCATTTGACTGCTAACCAGAAGGTTGGCAGTTCAAACCTACCAGCCACTCTGTGGAAGGAAGACTGGGTAATCTACTTCTGTAAAGATTTACTACCTCAGAAACCTAAAGGGGGTTACTATTAGTCAGAATCAACTTGATGGCAATGAGTTTGGCTTTTGGTTTCAACTGGACCAATAAAGCAGCATCACAATAAATGGAGAAAAGATTAAAGTTGTCAAAGATTTCATATTACGTGGATCCACGGTCAACACCAATAGAAGCAGCAGTCAAGAAATCAGACGTCGTATTGCACTGGGCAAATCTGAAGAAAAAAACCAAAAACCTCTTTAAAGTGCTAAAGAGCAAAGAAGTCTGTTTGAAGACTAAGGTGCACCTAACCCAAGCCATGGTGTTTTCAGTTTCCTTATATGCATGTGGAAGCTGGACAGTGAATGAGTAGGACCAAAGAGGAGTTGATGCTTTGAGTCGTGCTGTTGGAGAAGAATACTGAAAGTCCCGTGGACTGCCGAAAGGACAAACAAACTTGTTCGAAAGAAGTGCAGCTGGAACGTTCCTTGGAAGCAAGAATGGCCAGACTTTGTCTCACCTACTTTGATCATACTGTCAGAAGGGACCATTCTCTGGAGAAGGAGATCATGCTTGGTAAAGTGGAGGGTCAGCAAAAAAGGGGGAGGCCCTCAACGAGATGGACTGACACAATAGCTGCAATGATGGGCTCAAGTATAACAAGGACTGTGAGGCTGGTGCCCGACCGGGAAGGTTCCATTCTGTTGTATGTGAGGTTGCTGTGAGTCAGAGGCTTGGTGAGGGGCAGGGTGGACAGAAGAGGGGAAGGCCCTCAACGAGATGGATCGACACGGTGGCAGCGGCAATGGGCTCAAGTGTAGCAAGAATCATGGAGCTGGCTCAGGACCGGGCGGTATTTCATTCTGCTGTACACAGGGTCACTGTGAGTCGGAGACAACTCAACGGCACCTAACAACAGCAACAAGTCAGAGCCAACTCAGCGGCACCTGACATCAACAACGGTGAAAGCCTAGATTGCCTCGAAAAGACTGTTGGTGGAATTATGGATATAAAAGGCAGTTCTGGTGAGGGCTCAGAAGGAAGTGAGGGGAGCTCTAGCACCAGAGATGACACAGACGCCGAGAAGTAGCGGCAGCAGAACCAGGAGACCACGTGCACAATGGGCTCCAAGCCATGGAGTGAGAGAGCTGAGTGCCTCCAGACAGGAGGCTTCCTGGTAGACGAGGGGCCTGGGTGGAGCTGGACTTGCCCACCACAGAGCAAACAAGCTGAGCACCTTCGAGCCAAGGCTGACTGGGTGCCTGTGGGCACCTACTGGTAGAGCTGAGAGCTTTGTGACACTTGCTTGAGCAAGACAGAGGACAGCCAGGAGGCCTGAAGGGCTGAGAGGCCTGGAGCTAGGAAATGGGGGCCGAAAGGACAGAGCCATGGGAAGCTGGCCCGCCTCAGTCTCAAAGGGTGGGGTCACCACCTCTGGGATCTCAAGGGTGGGGCTGTGGCCTCCTAGGTTTCAAGGAGTCAGATCTTCCCCAGCTCGGTTCCAGGGTATAGGTCTGCTGTTCAGAAGTATTGAGGGGCAGGGCCAGAGCCACTGCCTAGAGGTGAGGGGGTGAGGCTGCTTTGACCAAGTGCAGAAGTACGGGGCCTACCGGCACTGATGGTGTGGGGCTGCCTGAACCCAGGGGAGTGGAGTTGCCATCCCAGTAGGCCTGGAAGGTAGAGCTAAGGCCCAGGGCGTAGGGCCCTCCGCCCAGAGTCCAGAGACCAGGGCTAACACCCAGAGCCTGGAGGGCAGGGCCATTGCCTAGATGGTCTCAGAGAACAGAAGGTTGCTCCCAAGCCTTGAGAGCTAGTGTCAGTCATTCTGCTGGGTGTTCCTCGCTTGGTGCTTACTATCCCTTCCTTCCTTACAATTCCTCGCATTTCGTTTCTGACTCGTAGCGACCCCCACTGGATTTCTGAGACTGTAAATCTTTACGGAAGAAGATTGCCCCGTCTTCCTTCCACAGAGTGGCTGGTGGGTTTGAACTGCTGACTTTCCAGTTAGCTGTCAAGTGCCTTATCCACTATACCATTAGCCAAGTCTGTACTTGGAAGTGGATACCTTATATTCTAGATTCACAGAGAAGAGAAGTTTTGGCCGAGGATGGAATTGGGACTTCGAGTTGATCTAAGACTTTGGGGGTGATATCGTGAGGTGAAAGTGTTGTTTGTTTGTTTTGCATGTGGCAGGGACATGAATTTTGGGGGGGGCCAAAAGGTAGAATGTCATGGGTTGAATTGGATCACCCCAAAATAAGTGTCACCTTGCCTGGGCCATGACTCTCGATGGTTTAGCAACTATGGAACGATGTAATCATCCCCCACCCTGTGATCAGATGTGATCAGGTGTAAGGGGGTTTGAGGAGAGTAAAAGGCCCCTACTCGGATCACTGCCCTGATCCCATGTAAAGGGAGTTTCCCTGGCGTGGACCTCACTGCCACCAAGAAAGAAGAACCAGGAGCGGGGCACATCCTTTGGTCCGTGGCCCCTGTGCTGAGAACCTCCTATGCCCAGGGGCAGATGATGCCGGGATGCACGGGGATCTCCAAACAATGCCCGGCCCACAGACGTGAAAGGAGACCAGGACTTTCCCCAGAGCCAACAGAGAGCAAAACCTTCCGTAGAGTTAGTGCCCTGGATTCAGACTTCCAGCTTCCTAAACCCGAGAGAATGAATTTCCGTTCCATGAAGCCATGCACTTGTGGTATTTCGGTAGCAGTAGCGCTTGATAACTAAGACAGATGGCAGCCTTCAGAATCTCATTGTGCATCACTGGGCTGAGCTGTGGTACCTTGAGTCCTGCTGTGGGCCAGGTGTTTGACTTCCAGCTGATCCGTCAAGAGCATTAAAATACGGGATTTGAAGCGTGGGCTGGAGCAGACGCTAGCAAGAAGCTGGATCTCGGGGTCGTGTCTCTCTCTGGAGGCCTGGGTCGGCCCAGGGAAGCAGTGTCCCGAGGCGAGCGCGCCTCGCCTAATTGCGGCTCTCGAGTGAAAGCCGCAGGTCAGTTCACTAAGCTCATAAATATTACGGGGAGGAAAGCTGTGTCACCGTGGCTTCCTGATTTCAGTGCCCTTAATGCTGAACGTGAACCAGAGACTAGAATAGTCCAGCGCCTGGGGTGAGGTATTGTCCTTCTTGTTAATCACTGTTCCTGAAATATTCTCGTTCCCGTTGGTGGCAGGGCCCCCACACAGTGCACATTTCCCTCCCCTGCTCTCTGCCCATTACCCTTGTTTCCAGCTCTCTGAGCACCTGTCTGCGGCTCTCGTCCTCCTCCCCACCTGCCCCCGAGGCGCTGCTTCTTCACCGGAAGTACCCTGCCTGGTCTCCACTTGCCTGCCCGCTGCCAGACAGCTGCTGTGTCTTTGTTCTTGAAGTGCCCTGTCTTCTCCAGGGGCCTCCTTTCCTTGTGGTCTGCCCCCTGGGATACTGGACCTCCTTCAAAGTTCCTGGTACCTGTTCTCTGAATGCCCCTCCACAGCTCCCCCAGCCCACCCTCGGGGGGCTGCCTGACAGACTCGTGTCCCTGCAGATCCCCAGGAAGGTGGTATATGACCAGCTCAATCAGATCCTGGTGTCAGATGCCGCCCTCCCAGAGAATGTCATCCTCGTGAACACAGCTGACTGGCAGGGCCAGGTAATGCGTCGGAAGAGTGCAGGGGTCGGGGGTGGTGGTCCGGGGAGTCAGCAGTGTGTGGGAAAAATGGGAGAGTGACCCCACCCCGCCCTGGGCTAAGCTCACAGCTCTGGGCTCTCACCCTGTCTGTCTGACAGTGTAATTCTGTCACTTCCCATCCTGTGGGACCTGAAGCCATTGATGTTGCTATACTTCCATGTCCTTCTCTGTAAAAAAGTGACACTAACACCCGTCCTACCTACTTCCCAGAGAGGTTATGTGTGTCAGGCAGCGCGACAGAATGAAGGGACTTTGAGAGTAGAGAGTGCTTGAAAACGCCACAGGTCGCCCCAACTTCCACGGAGGCCAGCCCAGGCCGTCTGCTCCCGCTCACTGTCCACCCTGGGGAGCTCCTGGTGCCAGAATGCCTCAAGTGGCCCCGACCCTGCAGTGTGGGCTGGAGGGGACGTCAGAACAAAAGCGTCCCCCAGCTTCCCAGGCACCTTTGGCAATCACCACATCTCTGCGCCGCAGCAGTGGGGCGCGATGTTCCCGCTGAAGGCCCGCCTTGAGCGTGTCCCTGTCCCCCACCCCCAGTATGTGGCAGAGCTGCTCCAGGACCAGCGGAAGCCTGTCGTGTGCACCTGCTCCACCGTGGAGGTCCAAGCCGTGCTGTCTGCCCTGCTCACCCGCATCCAGCGCTAGTAAGGGCTTGGCTGCTCTCCTCCCCTCGGTGTTCCCACTGACTGCCCCGCCCACCCTGACTTCTAAGCAAGGATAGGGCCTCCTCTGCGTGAGACCAGGAGGCTGCAGCTGGGTGTGCTTGGGGGCGGCGGGGCGGCAGGCTGCAGTGCTCTGATGCTCCTGGAGGTCCCGGAGGATCAGAAGCGGAAAGGTCCCTTCGTGTCCTCCCTCATCCGGGCCCAGACCCCCGCAGCCCCTTGACCGACCTCATCCTGTCCTTAAAGCCATGAGGAAGAAGGCCAGGACAAGAGCCAACGTACAACTGTAAAGTCCTGCTGGCCCCTGAGAGTCAGTGCTCACTCCGCAGGACCTTCTCGGCGGGGCCCAGAGTTTCCTGCAAGTGGGAGGGACAGCTTCTGGGTCCCAGGCATCCGGGCTCCCAGTGGCAGGGGAGTTGTCTCCCTGTGAGCCTTAACTAGCTCGGTCTTCTTCCTAGACCTGCCCTTTCTGACCTTGGGTCTCTCTCTTCGTTGGAAAAGCCCTTGGCTTCTGGCCTCTGTATCACGTCCCTCAATGGTTTGCGTCCCCACGTGGTTGCTAAGGTCAAGTGCAGTCAGTGCTGGGGGCTCCCTGAATAAGTCCCAGGGAAACTCCTGAACGTGGCCATGGCTCTCCCCTTCCTCCGCAGCTGCAACTGCAACTCGTCCATGCCACGGCCGGTGAAGGTGGCCGCGGTGGGAGGCCAGAGCTACCTGAGTTCCATCCTCCGCTTCTTCGTCAAGTCGCTGGCCAGCAAGACGTCCGACTGGCTCAGCTACATGCGCTTTCTCATCGTCCCCCTCGGTAAGGATGGGCCGGCCGCCAGGAGGGCGAGTCTCGAGGCAGATGCCACTCAGGCAGCAGCATAGCAGGGCCAGGCCTCGGATGACACAGTCAGGAGACCGAGGCCAGGCTGCGTGCAGTGCAGCAGCGCTCAGGGCCTCCCCACCCCCACCCAGCTTGGCTTCTCTGCTTCTCCGCCCACCAGGTTCCCACCCCGTGGCCAAATACCTGGGCTCTATTGACAGTAGATACAGCAGTATCTTCCTTGATTCCAGCTGGAGAGACCTGTTCAGTCGCTCAGAGCCCCCTGTGGCAGGTATGGACCCCTTGTACCGACACTGCCCCCCAGGAGTGAGGCGAGATGCCACCAGGTTCACCAGAGAGTTGAGGGGGAGGGCTTTTGGGCCGTGTCCTCCCCTCCTGTGGTGTGGAGCGGAGGGAGGCCCGTGACTGCAGCCCATCCCCTGGGGACCAGGGACCACAGCGGGGGGGGGGGGAGGGCAGGCAGTTGTAGGGGTAAGATGCAGTCTGTCGCTGAGTGAGTGACTCTCTACCAGCTTCTCCTGACACAAGGAATAAAGGTGACGGGGGTGAGAGTGAGGCTGGCGGCAGTAATGCTGACCCACTTCTCCATAAGGGTGCTACTGACCCAGATGGGGGGCTCCCCCAGGTTAAGAGGTAGATGTGAGCAGACAGGCAGGAGCCAGCAGGTACGAGAAACAGGAGCACGGTCAGCCAGGCTAGAGGCAGGCAGAGATGTGACTCGTGAGGACAGTGCTTTGGCTCAGGGCTTGTTTGGGTCTTGGGAACCCTTTCTCCACTGAACCCCCCATCTGCTAGGATCCTCCCGTGGTCTCAGGGAGGGGCTCTCTTGTGGGCTTGTGGGTTTGCTGAAATAAATCCGCACTCAGCTCCTGGCTTGTCTGCAGAGCAACTGGACGTGGTGGGCCGGGTGATGCAGTACGTCAACGGGGCGAGCGCAACACACCAGCTGCCCGTGGCCGAAGCCATGCTGACCTGCAGGCACAAGTTGTGAGTCTGACTGTGAGGGTTTCCCCAGAACAGGGAAGGTGGGTTCAGGGAGCCTTGAATTTTCTTTGCTTTTTCACATTTCCCTTTCTCCCCTATTTCTCCTACTAGGAGCCCAAGGGGATGAGTTGAATGTGTGAGTGTGTGTGTTTGAATGTGTGTGTGTGAGGTAATATGAGTGTGTGAGTATATGTGTTTCAATGTGTATGACTATGTTTGTGTTTGTAAGGAGTTCTGGTGGTGTAGAGCCTAAGGCATTTGACTACTAACCCATCAGCCACTCCAGGATGGAAGACTGGGCAGTCTATTTCCATAAAGATTTACTGCCTTGGAAACCCAGAGGGGAGTCACTGTGAGTCAGAATTGACTCAGTGGCAGTGAGTTTGTTTGTTTGTTTTGTATGTGTTTATGTGTGACTGTTTGAATGTGAGTGTGTGTGTTTGAATGTGTATGAGTGTGTGTGTGACAGTTTGTGTGAGTGTATGTGTTTGTGTGTGGGTGGGTGTTGTGTGTGGGTGGGTGTATGTGTTCAGATGTGTGTGTGAGTGTGTGTGAGTGAGGGGTGGTATTTTCACTGCCTCCCAGCCAGGTCTTCCCTCCCCTGCCCTGGGCCTCCTCACCTGTCTCTGCCTGCCCCCTTCGTATGGAAACCCATCCAGTGCCGACGGGGCCACAGGGAGTGTAGTTTGCACCATCAGGGCCTTTGCCTCCATTGGGAGGCCCCAAATGGACAGTGAATGAGAGACGCCCCGTGCCTCCCAAGCTGTGATGGGAAGCTGTCGAGTGGGCTCTGGCCTCTTGGAACCACAGTGTAATGTGGAAGCTGATAGCCCAGCTTCCGTAGGTCTGTGCAGCCCCAGTAAGCCTTTGCTGTCTCTCCCCACAGCCCTGACGAAGACTCCTATCAGAAGTTTATCCCCTTCATTGGCGTGAGTACCGACTCCCCTCTGTTCCCCACCCATTCTCCTCACCTCCCCCCACCAGAAAAATCTGGGATCTATCTCTGCTAGTGGTTCTCAACCAAGGGTGATTTTGCACTACAGGGGACATTTGACAATGTCTGGGGACATCCTTGGTTGTCCCAATGGATGCTACTTGCATCTAGTGTTGTAGAGGTCAGGGATGATGTGAATACCCTACAGTGCCTGGGCTGGCCCACAACAGAGCATTACCTAGCCCAAGCATCAGTAGTGCCGAGGTTGAGACATCTGGGCTGGGACATGTAGGGACTGTCCCTTCCAGTGTCCTCCCTCCCCAAGTCCTGAAGTACGCCCCTGGTTTGTCACTTCCTCAGTGGTACCTCATACTTACTCCACGAGGCTGGAGGAAAAATCTAGATACTAATTTTTGAAAGTAGTTTTCACTAAGGGAGCAGGGAATGAAAGAGAAAAGCCCCTTCAGTGTATTTATGTTGGGTGGCACTGGCTTTGGTCTGTGTAACGGTGGCATGGTGGCATCAAAGGTCCTCTAACTTCAGGGCAGAGAGGAGAACCAAGGTCAGCATCAGCAGCCCAGGGCTGATCCCTGTGAGGTGGAGTCAGACCTGCCGCCATCCTCCAACCTCGTTATCAACTCTGACACCAGCTGGCACTGCCATGGCACTCTCCGCCTCTCTGCTGGGCTCGATAATCCATTGCAGTGACCCCACAGAACTCACAGACAGTACTCAGGATTGTGAGGTTTATTAGAGAAGTAACAGGTCCATTTCAGAATCAGAAACGACTCAGGATACAGTACTTTTGGTCAGGGCAGCTGTAGGCCAAGAGGCAGGCCTCTCCCTGGCCCTTGGCCTCTCACCCCTCCAGCCTCTGGGCCAGCCTGGCCTTTGCCCTGCCTGGGCAGGTGTTACAAAGCCCTTGCACTCTACCGATGAGTGCCTAGAGGCACGACACTCTGCCAGCAAGCCTTGGCCCAGAGGTGCTCAGCTCTCTCACTCCACAGACCGGCCAGCGTAGCTCCGCTGACCAACGCCCAGAGGCCGTCCTCTCTGCCAGCAAGCCTCCTGCCCGCAGGTGCTCAGCCTCACTGCTCCACGGGCTGGGAGGCCCACCGTGCCATCCCCCAGGCTCCTGCTTCAGCTGCTGCCCACCCTCTGCTGCACCTGGGGCCACTGTTGTGCACAGTCTCAGTGTCCTGCTGTGTCTCCTGGTTCTAGGAGGTTCTCAGCACAGGGACCCCAGGCCCACAGGATGCACTCTGTTCCCAGCTCTTCTTTTTTAGTGGCCGTGAAGTTCCTTCTTTCCACCTCCGGGAAGCCTAGCAGGACGGCAGAACCACCCAGTCCCCTCATCAGGGTTGCATACATCTTATCTGTATGGTCTCACGCCCACAAAGGTGCCACGCACCTTATTTGTATTATTAGCAAGCTGTCCAATCCTGTTGGTGGACCATGAACACCTTATTTGCATGGTCCCACCCAGTCATTTAGTGGGAGTTGCAAGCCCATGGTGAGAAAGGCCACGTGAAAGCAGCCCATCACACTTGGCAGCTGTGGAAGCGCAGGCAAACACCGGCCTGGAGAGGAGCCCCGCGACCAGAAGCTGGGCAGCCCTGTGAGAGCACAGTGCAGGCTCGGGCCAGTCAGGGCCAGGGGCTGCCCTTCCAGAACCAGCTCACCTGGTGTCTTTTTCTGTAATCGCCTTGAAGGAGCTTTGGTGGCATGGTGGTTTAAGTATTTGGCTGCTAACCAAAAAGGTCAGCAGGTTGCTTCTCAAGAGAAAGATGAGGCAGTCTGCTTCTATAAAGATCTACAGCCTTGGAAACCCTGTGGGGCAGCTCTACTCTGTCCTGGTTGGTCACTGTGAGTCCACATTGACTCAGTGGCATCGGGTTGGGGTTGGGTGGGTTTATAATCTCGAGGATCCCTTGTAGCTCCTGGAGGCAGGAGGGATGGAGGGCCTGGCTCCCCACTATCCCTGTTCTCCGCACACGCACAACTCGGGATGTCTTGACTGATCTTGGGACACAGAGGAGCCCCTTCTCATGGCTTTAACGCCTCCAGCCTGGCGGTCCAGTCAGACCCAGCCTGCCTGTGGTCTGCTTCCACAGCCACGGTTAGAGCCCCCAGAACCATGGTGCGCAGCCCAGTACCCATAGCTCGGCTCACACTTGAGGGAGGTGCACGCTGACCTCATGCCGAGAGAGAGAGAGACAGAGAGAGATTTAGAATAGAGGAGCTAGCACCCATGCAACGCCAGGAAAGGGAAGGGAAGGGGCGCTGTGGCCAGGAGCCCGACACCAGCTTCTTTCTCTCTGGAACCAAACTAAGAATGCATAGAATTAGGGCAAAGCCCAATGGCGACGCTGTGCCTTCAGCAGTCTCCTTGGGGACCTTCTGCAAGTAGGCGCATAGTCCCCAAGGCCAGCGTCCCTGCCCCCCAGCTCTGTGCTCAGCAAGTGCCCTGGGCCTGCTGGTGAACACAACTGCACCTGTCACTCAGAACCACAGCCGGGAGTGGAGAAAGCATTCAAACAGCCTGTCTCTAGTTCTGTCCTTGTTTCTTTTTTTTTTTTTTTTTTTAATTTTACCACTAGGGGGCCTCCCTCTGTCCTTTCCAGAATTCTCTAGGAAAATACAGAATTTTATGGAGAGCTGGAATCCTCCTCACTGCCTTGGAGCGGGGAGGAGGGGGCTTGGGGCCCTCTCCCCGACATTTTCATTTCTCCAGACCCCAGAAAGCCGGAAGGCCACTGGCGGCGTCTTCAGCTGGTGGTCCTGAGGCTTGGGCAGCAGGTAGAGCACGGCCCCGTCCTGGCCTGACGGTGCCGGGGCCGCCTCTCAGTGCTGTGTGACTTCTCCCTGACCTGAGCAGGTGCCTCCTGCCCACAGTGACCCCAGAGAAAAGAGGGCTAGGTGTTTCCTGCCTTCAAGGTCGGATGCTTCCTGCCTTCGAGATAGGCTTTGCCCTTGTCCCCGGAGGAGAGCTGCCAAGTCTGAAGTGCCCCACCTCACGGATGGGACCTGGGTTTTTTCCACATCTCATAACCATCTGTCTGCCTTGGAACCGAACGGATGTTAGAAGCCCTGATGAAAGCTCCTTTGCCCAGCCGTCCAGTGCTGAGTGCATTAGAACACGTCCGACTGTGATGGGAGCCCCTGAATGCCTGTGTCTCTTCCCTGCAGGTGGTGAAGGTGGGTCTGGTGGAAGACTCGCCTTCGGTGACAGGTGAGCCAGAGGGTGTCTCTTTCCCTCCTCTGAACCCGCCGGCAGAAGCAGGAGACCTGGGATGTCCTGGGAGAGGGTGGAGCAGGAGGAGCTTGGGCAACCCCATTGCCCACTGGAATGGTGGCAAGGGGACAGGGAGGTGTCTAAGGGCTGGGGAAGAAAGCCATGCTGCAGCGGGGTGGCAGACAGGCCACCAGGGGTTCAGGAGGTGGCTTCCTGTGGCCAACTGTGTTTGTCCCCTGCCAGGCGATGGGGATGACGCACCCGTGGTCAGCCTGACTGTGCCCTCCACGTCACCACCCTCCAGCTCAGGCCTGAGCCGAGATGCCACAGCCACCCCTCCCTCTTCCCCGTCCATGAGCAGTGCCCTCGCTGTCATGGGGTAAGGCCACCACCCAGACCTGCCTTCCTGCCACGTCCCGTCCACCGGGGCCCAGGACCCCGATGGAGTTCCCTCTAGCACAGCAGGACAGTGGCAAGAGCCCTGGGTTCAGAAAGGCCACTGGGCAAGCCTGCTGAGTTAGCATCTAGAGAGCCCGTCACGGAACAGCTCAGGGACCCAGCGGCTGGGCTCACCCTGGCGCTCTCGCAGACTTACTGCGGTTGCATGAGACAGTGCTGGTGGACAGGCCCTCTGTAGGCTGGAAGGTGCCGGTGAGGTATCGTGTGTGGAGGACAAGCCAGGTCTGAGCTGAGTCTGAGCCGTGGCTCTCCCTGGACCAGCTGTACCGCAGGGCGGGTTTCTGAGCTTCCATTCCCTCTTCTACGAGAGCAGAGGTGGGACAGCGACGTCGCAGGCTCGTGCAAGGCTTAAATAAGAACATGGTGCCTCATTCACCATCCCCCGCGGTCAGGCCAGTCACACGTGGCCTCAGGGTCTGGAGCCGCAAGTCCTCCAGGGCTCACGTTGGAAGGGCCCACCATGGTCCGGAAATGAGATGAACATGTAGGTTGAAGCAGGTGAAGCAGGGCCATGATGATGGAGCTGCAGGGTGTCTGGGAGCTAATGTTCAGACAGAGACCGCGCGAGGCCGCTGCTGCCAGGCAGGTGGAGGGAAGAGGCTAGGAGTGGGGAGAGGGCCTGGCAGGGTATGGAACCCCTCTTTCTCCCCCCACCCCCAACCCCTGTCCCACCCCCCTTCTGCCCTCGCCTCTTTCTTTCCTGCCCCTGGTCCTCTGGTTTTGGTCTGTGTCCAGCATAGGGCAGCCACTGACCAGTGGCTTTTCCAAACCCTGAGTCAGGGTCACAGTCCCTAAAGAAGCATTGCTGGCAAGGAGACTGCCAGGAACAAGAGTCGCACCCTGTCCCTGTCCAGCTCCCTTCATTTGCCTGCCTGGGAGCCAGACAGGACGAGGGGTCCACTCAGCTGAGGCAGCCCCCGGCCTCCCAGAGGCCTGTTTTTCTGCTCCCCCTCCAGCCCCAGCCCAAACGGTTTCTGTCCAACATAGATTCCAAGGCCTTGGGACTAACCCTTGAAGGTGCTTTGGTGGTACTGTGGTTAAGCAGTCTGATGCTAACAGTAAAGTCGGTGGTTCAAACCCACTAGCCGCTCCGTGGGAGAAAGATGTGGAGGTCTGCTTCCATAAAGATCAACAGCTTTGGAAACCCTGTGGGGCAGTTCTCTAGGGGTCACTATGAGTCGGAATCGGCTCAGTGGGTTTGGTTTTTTTGTGTGTTTTTGTTTGGGACCAGCCCTTGCCCCGACCTCCTTTCCTATCCAACACAAGCTTGTTTTTACTGGCATGACTGACACCAGGCAGAAAGAGAGCTGTCAGCTGACTTATGCAGCCCATGTACCTATTGTGTCTGACGCCTCCTTTCACAAAAACAGCAGCCCTTTTCCCTCAGAGCTAAAATTATCCCTGAGCTAGAAGTCCCGTAAAGAAAACGAAGCCGCAGGTCAGCGTCGCTGGTGGCTGTCACCGGAGGCTGCATGGGAGCTGCAGGTGGCCGGCCTCTGCCCCACTTAGTCCCCCGGGGGCCCGGCCAGCGTGGGTACCGCTCTGCTCCGGGGCGTGTGTTCACGTGCCTTGTCCTCATTCGGCTTCCTTCCTCCGCATCCTCATCTTCCTGGGCCTCGTCTCTTTAGCTCTCTGACCACTTTGGGCCTTTCTCATCTCCTGGCTTTGTTCTCAGACCTGTTCTGCACTCCAGGGGAACGATTCTATATGCAGAGCCTGGAGAAGGCCTTCAGCTGCCCCGGAGCCCAACCCTGGCCTCCTCTCCCCTCCCAGAGGCTTGAGCCCCTTGGCCCCTCGCCCGCTCTCCTGGCCAGGCCCTGAGGACCCCCCGGCCCCTCGCCCGCTCTCGTGGGCCCCTCGTCCATCCTCGTGGCCGGGCCCTGAGGGCAGAGCTGACCTCTCCATCCCCCTGCCCCTCCTCCAGGAGCCCCAACAGCCCATACGGGGATGTGATTGGCCTCCAGGTGGACTACTGGCTGGGCCATCCCGGCGAGCGAAGGCGAGACGGCGACAGGAGGGACGCAAGCTCCAAGAACACCCTCAAGAGTGTCTTCCTCTCGGTGCAGGTGTCCCGCCTGCCCCATGGCGGCGAGGCCCAGCTTTCTGGCACCATGGCCATGACAGTGGTCACCAAAGAGAAGAACAAGAAAGGTAGGTGATCTCCGAGGCCAGAGACACTTAGAGGCCAGTAAGTCCTGTCACCTCTCGCAGGGGCAGGATTGGCCCGGGGGCCTTGTCCTGCAGTACCTGTGGGACCGCAGTCCCCAGCAAGGCACTTGGTCACTGCTGTCTGAGGTGTGGCTCCCCCGACCACGGCAGCGTGCGATAGGAAAGTATGTTCAGGCCCCAGCTCCCACGAGGGACAGTGAGGCCCGTGAGCAGAGCCTTGGCACTCAACCCTGGAGGCCAGTCCAGGACTTTGTGGCCAGAGGACGCGATGTCCTCTAAGGAAGGGGCAGTTCAGTCCGTCTGGATACGGCACGGACGTGGGGTTGGGGTGGCCTTGGGTCCTACCCTAGGAGGGATGCTCTCACGGCTGGCAGGACACCCCACACACATACCAGGCCTGGCTGAGTCACCGCTTCCCTGTCAGCCTGGCTTCGCACCTGGAATGGTGGCCCTCCCCCTGCCCAGCTGTCTGGAGGTGGCTTCCTTTCTCCCGGGAGCCTGCCTCCTCCCACACTCCCAGAGCAGCTGGGCCTGCATCCCTTCGGCATTTCTGCTGTGGGTGCCCCTGGGGGGGCCACCTTGGCCTGGGATCGGGGTGGGGCGTCAGTTCTGCCCAGCCTCCTGCTCTGCCTCCTCCCCAGAGCAGATGGAGATGCTGGCCTCGGCCCCCCTCACGGGCTGACACCTCACACAGGCCATCTCGCTCCGCAGAGGAGGCAGCCCCAGCTGCACGTGGCCAGGAACCTTTGAGCTGAAGGGACTCAGGCCATCTGGCCCCGGGGTCTTGCTGTGCAGATGACAATAGTGAGGCCAGGAGAGGAGGAGCCCTTGCCAAAGTCAGGAGACCGGTCCTGAGGCAGGTCGGGAGCTCGGAGACCCTGCCCCCGCCGCCTGCCCACCAGCAGCAGCCGCAGGACCTGGGCAGGAGGAGGGGGTGCGCTTCCAGGGGTGACTCAGAGGCGGGGCTGCTTGCTTTCCAGTTCCCACCATTTTCCTGAGCAAGAAGCCTCGCGAGAAGGAGGTGGATTCCAAGAGCCAGGTCATCGAGGGCATCAGCCGCCTCATCTGCTCTGCGAAGCAACAGCAGACCATGCTGAGAGGTGGGGTGGGCAGGCCGGCAGACGGGGGTCGGGACTGGAGCAGAGAGCGGGGCGGGGCCAGCTGAGGGGGCGGGGACTGGGGCAGAGCGGGGGTGGGGTCTACATGGGCGGGGCCAGGTGCGGGGGCGGGGGCGGAGAGCCGGTGCGAGGCTGATGGGGGGGCACAGGGACTGGGGCGGAGAGCAGGGATGGGGACATCTGAGGGGCGGGGACTGGGGCAGAGAGCCTGGGCGGGGCCGACGAAGGCAGGGACTGGAGGAGGGCGCTGGAGCAGGGCTGACTGGGGGACAGGGCCTAAGGCAGAGAGCCAGGGGCTGGGATCACTGGGGAGGCGGCAAGGATGAGGCCGAGAGCCGGGTGGGGCTGACTGCCGGGAACAGAGGCTGAGGGCAGAGGCCTTCTTGACTTTGTGCTGGGGGGAGTGGCCTAGGCAGCCCTGGTCACCCAACCCTGTCCCCCAGTGTCCATCGATGGAGTCGAGTGGAGTGACATCAAGTTCTTCCAGCTGGCAGCGCAGTGGCCCACCCACGTCAAGCACTTCCCAGTGGGACTGTTCAGTGGCAGCAAGGCCACCTGAGGGCACTGTCTCCTGGCCATTACTCCTGGCACTGCCACCAGCCTCACCGCCTGCGGGCAGGGGAAGGCACAGGCTGGACCCCAACACCCCTCTCCTGACACGGGGGCCTGCAGGCCACTGCCACTGGGACGCTGCTCTCCCCACACCCAGTCCTGGCCCTCACCCCTCTCTCCGCCCCCACCGTCCTCTCCCCACCCCCCACTGCCAGGCTGAGGGCACCTGTCAGTCCCTGCAGTTGAGTCCTGAGGCTGCTTCTGTTCCCTTCCTGTTCCCCGCTTCCCCCATGTGGCACGCACAAGCACCTTCCTGGAAATGGCAGAGCTGGCCTCCTGGGCCCCAGCAGCCGGGCCCCGTCCCTCAAATCCCCAGGTCACCTGCTTCCCTCACTAGGGTCCGGTGGATAATGACCGTCCACCTGCCGGGGCTGGGGCCAGCTGGTACCACCTCCCAGAGCTAGGGCACCTCCCACCTCCTGGAGGGACACTGCGTGGCCCCACAGCTGGCCGGAGAAGGGAGGAAGGACACCCACACACAGCTCACAGGGGCAGGAGGCAGCTCCCACCCAGGCTTTCCCCAGGGCAGTGCTTCTGTGGTGACGAGTGTGCTGCTGGGACAGGGCGCTCCCCGGCTCCCCCCGCACACGGCCGTCCTTCCACCGCCAGGGCCCCCGGGAATGTCGTGTGTGTCCTTGAGCTTTGGTTCTCTGCACGGCCAGTCTCTTGGTTGTCTCGGTGGTTCCGTGTGACTCGTCCTGTCTGTGGCTTCTCCCATGTTGATAACCCTCCCCTCCTTGCAGCCCACCTTCGCCCAGCTCAGCTCGGCCCGTGCTGCAGCTCTGGACTGGGAGGTGCAGGTGGACCGCACACACGTTGTGCCCCGCCACCCGGCCTGTCAGCCCCTGGGCCCGCGTTGATGTGTGTCCAGGCCCGGCTCTTGTTCCACCGCCTCACGTGGCCCCCTCTGGGCCCTTGGCCTGAGGAGAGCTTCCCACGCTGGGTCACACCCTGGCTGTGACCCTACCCCCAGCCCAGCAGGGACCACAGACTCAGGTCTGAGCGCCTCTGGCCCCACCAGCAACTCGGAGCTTCCCCGGTGCCCTCACTCCTTCCAGAAGGTTTTGCACAGAATTCATTTTGAAAGGCGTTTTCTCATTCTCCGGACCTCCCAGCCCCGCCCCCAGCCCGTCCTCAGCTGGCCCCACTGCGCTCTCGCAGCTGGAGGGGGGCTGGGTGGATGTTGGGTTTTTCATTCAATAAACTGATGGTTTCTTACCGACTGCCTTGGCCTCTGTGCTGCTCACTGTGACCCAGGTTCCGGGGGCTGCGCTACCCCTACCTGGGGAGACAGAAGACAGTCATGGCCACGCTTTGTGGGCGCTGGTGTCTTCCATGGGCGCCAGGACAGAGGCCTCCATGCAAAGCCACCGCCTGTGAAGAAGTGCCTAGACGGGTGTCCCCAGCCTGCAAGACACAACCATAGGGATAGAAGGCTGGGAAAGACCGGCTGTGGCCTGCCTCGCACTGGGGAGCCTGGGAGGCAGAAATACCGCTGCCTGCCAGGGCAGGGGACCCAGAGAGGTCTAGGAAAGCAGTGGTCAAAGCCGGCAGGCTGGGGGCACTAGACGGACCTCTGTGGATGGCAGAGTGAATGCCTGGAGCAAGGCCGCTGTCTGCAGAAGACAGGGTCCAGCAGGAGCGGGAAGGCGCAGACGCAGACCCTGCCTCCGCTCCTCACCTTCCTAGGGTCTGGCTCAGAAGTAAGAGACAGAGAATTGGCTTACCTCCTTACCTCCTGCCGGTCACACCTGCACCCGCAGCTCGCCCGCCCCACACATGCTGGAATCGCTCCCACACTGACAACAAAAACCGCTCCCCTTAGGGCAAAACTCGCTAGTGTCCCTGTTTGCTCTCTCCCACTCCCACTCGCTTCAGGCGTTTTCCCTTACGACCCATTGGAAGTGCCCTTGCCAGTTCTCTCTCTCTCTCTTTCTGTGACACACACACACACACACACACACACACACACACACACACACACACCCCCCCGGGGCTGCAGAGCCTGCTGGTTGCCTTGATGTAGACAATCCGTCTGTCCCTTGCAGAGTCAGGTTCTTCTCTTGCCTCTGGGCTCCACTCTCTGCTTTTCCCTTTCCCGCCTCTGGCCATTCCTGCTCCGCCACCTCATCTCCCGGCCTCGAGACCCCAGGAGCCCAGGCTCAGCCAGGCCTCCACGCAGCCCCGTGGCCGCAACGCTGGCCTGGGCAGACTCCCGGGAAGTGCCCACTCCCTCCTGCACACACTGCAGTCACCCTTCCTCCTCTCACCCCCATCCAGACCTTCCACAACTCGGATGGCCGCCTCTGCCTTCAAGGCCTGCCCGGAGCCCAGCAGCTTTCCCCGTCACCGGCCTTTATCACGTGTCTGGATGTTGCCGTAGCCTCCTTGTCATCTCTGCTCCCACCTCCCCCTCTGCAGTCAGTCCCCACCCCACAGCCAGAGAGACCTTTGGAAAAATTCATCCAGTCATGCAAAAGTGCTCACCCACACTGTTAATTAAGTGGCTTCCCACCTCACTTGGACCAGTGACCCCAGCCCGCAACCCACAAGGCCCTGTGTGATCCCACCGCCCCCACTCAGACACACCACGCACGTCCTGCCTCAGGGCCCTTGCACAAGCCGCTCTGATGCCTATCCTGCCCTGCCTCCACATCTGTGGGGCTTGTTCCCTCGTATAAGTGTCAGCTTAAATGCCACCTTCTGAGGCAGGTCTTCCCTGTTCAACCCATCTAAAATAGCACCTCCCTTTTCTCTTGCCCTTCTTTATTCTTAGCATTTCTCAGTCCTTGGCATTTCATTATTCATTGTCTCTCCCAGCTAGAATGTAAGGTACACACACACACAAAAAAAATAGGGACGTGATTGTTTCCCCTGCTGTATCCTTAGCACCCGTTCTAAGTGCTTGGCCTGTGACTGAGTAAACATTGCTGTTACCCCTGGAACTGTCGCCCTGAGATAATCTTTAAACCTTAAACCAAAAAATATCCCCGGAAGTCTTCTTAAAAAAGAGCACTAGGTTAACTGAACTAGTAAAAGGTCTGCCTTGAGATGATGCACTTTTAAAAGCTGTCTGTATGGGATGAAAAGGGCCACCGCAACGTGAACGATTGGATAGGAACCTTACCGTAGGGGCAGTGAGTGTGTTAATGGGGGAGGAAACTCAGAAAAAGACGGTGGGAATGGTTGCCCAACTCTAAGAATGTCATTTAAAAAAAAAATCACTCCTGTTGAGTCCATTTGACTCATAGCTGGTGACCCCTGCTTGGGTTTCTGTGGTGGTATCTCTACAGAAGAGATACCTTCCTTCCGAGGAGTGGCTGGTGGGTTTGCACTGGCAGCCTTCTGGTTAGCAGTCAGATGCCTTAGGCACTGCGCCCCCAGAGCTCCCAAGAATATCATCAGTGCCACCAAATTGTACATGTAGAAGCTGGTGAGTTGGTGTGTATTTTGCTGTGTATATTCTCAGCAAAATCTAAAGAAATAACATGTTGCCATTGAATCCATTCAACTCACGCTGACCCCATGTGGTCTAGAGTGGAATGCTATAGGATTTTCTTGGCTGAAGCTCTGGTGGAATGCCTAAGGCATCTGACTGCTAACCAGAGGTTGGCGGGTCAAACCCACCAGCCACTCCGCGGAAGGAAGACTGGGCAATCTACTTCCATAAAGATTTACTGCCTCAGAAACCTAAAAGGGGTTGCTGTGAGTCAGAACCAACTCAATGGCAGTGAGTTTGGTTTTTGGTTTTAATCTTTACAAGGAGTGCTAGATCTTTCTTCCATGGCATCACTGGGGGGTTCAAGCCAAATTTAAATTTGGACGTGGTCCATGATAGGTGCACAGTAATTAAGTAGGTGACTAAATGATGAACGGAGAGTCTTTGTGCTTCTGGAACAGGGTCCGTAAGTCAGAGGTTCAAAAAAGGTCAGTACACCCTGTGCCACTCAGGCGCTTCAGCCAACACCTCAGCCCAAGGACACTTGCACTTTCTCAGAGGCCTGAGTAACAAGAAGGACTCCTGCTCTGAACAGAGAGGAGGAGGAGGCGGCTGTGTAGGAACCATTCCCAGGATTCTGAGGCCGAGGCAACTCGCTACAGGGTGACAGCTTAGACCCTGAGCCAGCTCTGCCCAGTCCCTGGAGAGTTAAAGCCACACAAGAGCAGACTGCCTGTGGGCTGCCGGAAACATTCTGTGAGGTCAAGGGTGGCGTTGGTGCAGGAGGTGGGAGAACCTCCACACCAACTCCAGACTAGGTTGGTTGGTTGGGTTTTTTTTTAAATATATATATAATTCAAATAAACTGGTTTTGTTCTTTAAGAAGCATTTTAGATTTACAGGAAAGTACCAAAGGTAGTACAGAGAGTTCCCCTGTGTTCCTGGGCTGTGTTCCCTCGTTAGCATGTTACATTACCGTGGTACATCTGTCACAACTCATAAACCAACACTGACACATCATTACTAATGAGTCTGTAGTTCACGCAGATTCCCTTAGCTTTTCCCTAACGTCGGTTTTCTGTCCCAGGATCCCACCTGGAATATGGCACTGCCTTTTGTTACTTTGAAGAAATGAGCTGAGGAAAGGTTGCTGGTACCTGCCCCCCAGAAGGTGACGCATGGTGACTCCACGTGTGCAGGGTTAGGGTTGGTTGGTTGCTTTCCTAAACATTTCACCGTGTTTTCGGTTACACAGAAGTTGAGGCTCCTGTTCAATTGTTTCTACACAGGTTGTTCAGGGACATTGGTTCCCTTCTTTGCAATGTGTGATCAGTCTCCTGATTTCCATTCCGGTTGTTCTGTTTCTGTTCATCTAGTTTCCCTGCCTCCTTTACATTCTCATCTTTATTTTAAAGTCATTGTTGACCATTTGGTCTCTTAAGTGATTTTTTTTTTTTTTAAAGGAGCCCAGTACTTATGCAGACGTATTCATTGTTTTTGGTTTTGGG